ACAAATTTTAATACTAATAAATAAAAATATAAAATTATTTAATAATATTAAAATTATTTTTATTTTTATTTTTTAATAATCATAATAATATATTACAAAAGCATATAAAACTTAACGAGTTTTTTTTTTTTTCTTGTTTAAAATTGCAAAATTCTAAAAACCACAACCATCCTAATTACTAAATAAACCTTTAATTACCAATAAGAAAAAAGAAAACACTGTTCCAATTGATCAATTCCATAGAACATTGAGAGACCAGCTTTCTGATCAAGCAATTTATATCAAAACAATATTGCTAATCAGATGCATTAAATTACAATGTCAAGTTGAGTTGAAATCAATCTTCTGTCTTGCTGGTAGCATAAAAGAAAAAATGAATTTGAACTTTTCTCGTATCACACATAGCTTGGTTTACCTTCTCTCAGCCAGTGGATTCATTGCTGCCTGAATTTCTTCTAGAGTTCTTCTCTTTGTCTCCGGTACCATTTTTGCAACAAATATGACAGTTAAACCGCCAATACCAGCAAATATGTAAAATGTTCCTGAAAATACAAAGGGTAAAAATATGGTTTGTATATGCATACACACTTGAGAAGAGTAGGGAGGGAAGGAAGTGGAGGAAGAACCTGCAGAGCTCCATTCCATGGAGAAGTTGAAAACAAACGTAACAATCCATGAAGTGAACCAATTGACCATAGATACAAGGCTTCCAGCAGAACCCTTCACGTTAACTGGAAATATCTGAAACAGCACTTCACCCTTTAGTCTTGTTCCACTGTTCCCACCAATGTTCAGCCTTGTTTTATGATTAATTTCCGTTTATTTAAACTTTGTGCTTGATTAATCTCACTGACCTCGGACATTAGAAGCCACGGTATTGCTGCAAGTCCTACTCCGAAAAACGCACTATATACCTATGTAGAATCAATAATGGAAAAGCACTGCAAAAGTTATGCTTATAGGAAAATGAGGCCTTCTGACCAAAAGAAAACAAATCATAATCTCTGTTTAGCTTGCGTTACCAGTATACCGACAAATGCCAAAATTGGAGCAAAGGCTTTGCACCAATGAATGTCCTGTTCATGATTATAAATTCTCTTTGTTAGGAAATAAATTCAAGGAATAATGTGAGACTTCATAGAACAGAAATTTAGTGAGAAACCTGCAATGAGAATGCTAACCCAACTAGAAGGCATCCTAAGCATGTTCCAGATGCAGAAACCTGTTAAACAATTGAAATGCACATTGAGAACCTTGTTTTGATGTCTTCATAAGCTTGTAATAATGTTGGTTTTATCTTTACCATTAGAAGCACTCTTCTTCCTGATTTATCAGTTAAGAACACACTTAAAATGATCATAACAATCTGCAGAAGGGAAAACATAATGTCCCATAACCACATTTATAAAGGAAAAATGAAATGAATAGAAGCCAACAACCTGCACAGCAGCCATTACAATTGTCCCTATAGTGGCTGAAAAACCTGGCACAAAAGCAAAGATTAAAATTTTTTTATCTTTTTCTTTTCCTGTAATTTCTATGATTGTGTTTTTGATTCTTATGATAAAGGAATTACTAAAGAATCATGTATACCAGCTGCTTCAAATATAGAACTTGCATAAAAGGAAATTGCAGAAACACCTCCTAATTGTCGCAGTAACATCAGCCCTACTCCAACCTAAAGTATGTATGATACAAGAGGATTTGAAAAAATGTCACAAGCTATTTAAAGATCAGAAGCCAAGACCAAGAACTCTGGAGGGCTTACAATGAGTGACCAAGAGTATGTCCTCTGGAACAATCCTAGGATTCTAGCCTTTGGGAGCTGTTCAAGCAATTCAGTATAATCCTGTAAAGCAAAAATCTTTTTATTGCAACAAAATTCTAAAGCAAACAAGGCAAAAGGAAAAAGAATTAGTGGTTCAGTATTTCTCAAAATAAAAGGCTATTGAAGTTTACTTTAATCTGATTAGCTTCCTGAGATATATCAGAATTAGCTCCTCGAAGATTCTGGAGAGTAACTTCAAACTCTCTGTGTCGACCGGTCTTTGCCTGCAGAAAATTTACACTTTCAATCTCGGTAAGAAAACATCCCTTTTTTGTTTCTATTTGATGTCAAAAAATATGGTTCTTAAGTTTTTGAAGATATTTCACTGTGTTGCACAAAGTATTAAATCTTTACGACTTACCAACCATCTTGGAGACTCTGGAATCATAAACAGTCCCACAAGATGTACCAGACATGGAATTGTGCCTGCAAAGATATTTAAATGGATGCTGCCGTATAATGTGACCATGTAACTCAACTTATGCAATTCGATGTGAGTTCAAGTTACCTATAAGTGCCAAGATGCGCCAGGAGACTACAGTTCCAAGAATATATGTCATGGCAGTGCCAAAAGTTATCATGAACTGGAAACAGAAAGTAATTTTATGCAGGGCTAATCAATTCAGACAATCCAAGAACAATTAACTATTGGTTTTGCATTACCTGATGGAAGTTTGCAAAGCCTCCTCGAAGATTCTTGGGAGTTACATCTGCTATATATACAGGTACCTGTTTCATAATTAGAACATAAATATCCTTGAACATACCTCTACCATTAACCAAGTTTTTAATGTAAATTACCAGATAAGAAAGACTTCCAACACCAATTCCTGTTAATAATCTTCCAAGATCAAGAGGCCATGCATTCTTCCAACAAGCACAAAGGAAACAATATTAATAATCACTCCAGGGAAAGATTTTATATGCTTAATCTTTTTATATTTTTTGATATTTTTGTGTCTGTTAGGATATCAAAATGACTGTCAAATTTACATTCCCCTTCATATTGATTTTAGAACTTCAAAGAAGAATCAAAGAAACAAGAGGTGATCGGAAAACAAGGCAGAATTCAAAAAACCTTTGACAAGAATATAGCAAGCCAACCAATAATGCATAATATTTCTGAAATCCCCATTGCCTGCATTTGCAAGATAACCATACAGTTAGCATGAATCAATGACTATAATTGTGCATATATGGAGCTGAAACTTTCTAATGAGACGAATGATATATAATAAGAAGTGAAATTGAAGCACTTACAATTCTCTGGCCAACAACATCTGCAATCTTTCCACTCATTGCTGCACCTAACATTGCCCCGATGGTTAAGATTGAGCCAAAAATGGAGTACTGAATTATCAGAATGAAAATTAAAATCAAACCCTTACAAGAAAAACAGACCAATTCTGAATAATGTCAAACATAAGAATAAAAAGACAGATTCTAATACATCTCAGCTTAACTAATACCATACTTAAGAAAATGTCAGTGAGTGCAGTGGACAGTAATCAAAGGACCCATAAGTTCTGTATTTTAATGTTATTAACATTTCTTTCAAATAGTATAAACTTCATCTGCCATTCATCAACATATATATGAAGGTTACTCAATACCTACCTCTGCCACAGAGAGCCCTAGGTCACTCCTGATTCCACTCTCAGCAGGGGATGAATATCCCACCTGCAAATAACATAATAAAGATATGGGTTGATTAATTTATATGTTGAAGGCATATGATCACATGGTTGGATAAAATTCTTTGCCCTCATCTACTCTAATGAGTTATCACATATCCAGGTTTATTAGGATGCTTTTCTTGAAAAGAAATGCTTATTTCAGTGCTTGGCAATATCTCAAATAGACAAGAGGCATGCTTAAAGAGGGAAAAGCAAGCAGTAACATGTAACTTACGTACCTGACACAAAGCATTAAGGTGCATCTTTTATAGGTAATGTAAGGAAAATTTTCCTTTTTGAGTCTAATAATAGTGTCATAAATGATAATCCACGTGTTTTTGGTGCCTTCTTTGGAGTAAAAAAATTGAATTCTAACTAATAATCCAATTCAACTTATGTACTTGAAGTAGATTAATTGAACACTAAAACCCAAGTTCCAAATGCTGAAGGAAATTGAAACAAATTATGGTAAAAGAAAAGAGGATCAACAACTTACAGAAGCACCAAAGACATAGGAGCCACACACAGCAATGAAGGTACTAAGAACTACTGCAGCTGTGACAGAGCTACCACCATTCTGAATGCCGTATGTGCTGCTGCATTCTTCATCAAGTAGAGAAGTATGCAACTGCCTTTGTGTTTCCCTCTCCATTGCTTGCTGTTTTAGGAAACAAGCAGTAAGCAAGAAACAGGAGGAATATCCAGCACATGATAGTTGTAATGACATGAAAATGCAACATCATGAGTAGTTTGTTACACCAACTATTTTGAGATTTTTCCTATCTTGAACTAATTGCAACTGTTAAATAATATGCAGCTAAATCTCAGTCAAGAAATATTTGCCTTAGCACATACATAATTAGTGCATTTGTAATTAGAAATTATTATTGGAAGTTTTTCTTTGGAAGTTGGATCACGTGGAAGTGCAATAAAAGCACTTCTAATGTAATTTACAATAATAAGAAGAGTATCTGGAGAAACAACCACCCTAGCCCAATATATCCAACAGCCGGCCTAATAACTACTACTCCCCCATATCAAACAAACCACTTTGGTCATTTAGCCACCACAACTTTTATGCCAGCCAAAATGAAAATTGGAGTAACTGTGTTTCCAAATGAGGTGTAATAGTCACCATGATCTTTGAAAGATTGAAACATTAGCTGGCTGGTACAGTTAAGCATGGTTAAGTTACTAGGCACTCTCCATGTTCTGTGTTAAACACAACTATCATTTAAAGGCAGTAATTTGAAACTTTCATTAAACTAACTAAACTAACTAAGAAGTAGCTATTAATGAAATTAAAGCATGTAATTACTCAAAAGAAGGGTTCACAATAAAGCCTAATTCATTCAAAAAATCTATGTTCCAATAATGTTATCATTAACTCAAACAATTTCCAACCAAAACGCACAATGTGTGAACATACAACCCGAAGTTGAATGGGAAAGCAGTTGGCTTAATTTCATTGGTTGAAATAAGCTCCCTTCCCTCTACTTCACTCAAGCCAAACTGGCTTCTTCTTTTTCTTCTTCATTTTTCTTAATTTTAATTAATTTTTTATTCAATTAGTTAATCAATAGTTTTATTTTTTTAATAAAATTTTCACAACTAGACTAAAACTAATTACTTAAAAGTGAACCCACCTAGATTAAAAGTCCTCCTTCTATTTAAAGAGTCCAATTCCATGCAAATGGGAAACTCGTTCTAATTACTTTAAGGTCTATAGCTAAGCCCACGGAGGCAAAGACCAAAATCACACAAAACATAACTCAACCCATTCATCAAAATGGCAAAATAGAACAAACTAAACCAAAAAACACAGCCCATAATGTTTTGAACTAAACCTAGGCTACCGTACCTAACTTTCTAACACGATCCAATCGAAACTTCCAACCAATCAAACACCCTAAAATATTTAGAAAAAGAGCAAAATTTGGCACATTCCTGGCCTCCATCCATTCCCAAAGAAAATCTTAAAAGAACCCAAATTTCAATGGAAATTCTGGATACTCTTCTCCTGGTTTTATGACCTCCTCATCCACTGTTAAATTCTTCCTCAACCCATAAACCTAAGGATCATGCCTTGTCCATTTATCATTTGCTTAAAGTGACCAAATAAACACAAGCAAGCAAAAAAACATAAGCAAGAAAACTACGAAAACAAACATACATTCATCATAAAACAATCAAATTTATCAACAACTGCAATGCTCAACTATGAAAGTCCATGGGTTATGGTTATACCTGTAAGAAAAATTGCTTGGATTCCTAAAATGGCGGAAGAGTAGAGCACAATTTCTCTCTGGAACAATATCTTCAACCGTTGACTCCCTGTGCACAAAACCTATAACATCTACCCCTTTTCTCACCTAACTCTCCCTGAACCATTAAATATACCCAGGCCTCCCTCCCTGAACCCCAAAGCTTTCCTCTACTTACCGGTAAAAACTTATTTTTAGCCTTATCATATTTAAAGATCTTAACATTCACCTTATATCATATTGAACACTTTTAATCATTTATTTTATTAAATTTATAAGTTTTAATTTTTTATCTATTAAAATAAAAAAAAATAATCTTTATTTTATATTGATTATTAACTCTATTAATTAAAAGTAAATTTTTATCAATTAACAATTAATTAATAGTCAATTAATAAAATTAATGAAATATTATAAAATTAACTTTGTTAACTGTATTAGCTGAAAGAAAATTTTTATACGTTAACAGTCAACTAACATTTAATTTAATAGAGTTAACAATCAACTAACAAAACTAATAAAATATTACAAAGTTTGAGTTATTTTTTTCAATTTTAATAGACAATGGACTAAAAATATCATAGTATATAAGATGAAAAGTTAAAACCTATAAATCTAATAAAGTAAATAATTAAAAATATTATAATATAAAATGAGGTACTAAAATCTTGAAACTTGATAAGGTAAGGGACTAAAAATAAACTTTGGCCCTCTTCCCTCCTCCTCCTCCTCATCATCATCATCCTCGTCCATTTCCCCTCTCTTACACAATCTGTTTGGATCGCGGGATTTAGAAGATAGGCTAAAATATGTATTTAGTTCTTTATTTTAATAAATTTAAAAGTTTTAATTCTTTATCTTACACTATAAAGTTTTTAATCCCTAAATTAAAAGTACAAAGATTTTAACCTCTAAATTAATGAAAATCCATTAACTCTGCATTAAAGTGAAAGTAGAATATTTACAAGATTAATTCTTAAAAATTAAAAATATAATAATTTAATTCTAAAAATTTAAAAATTAAAAGATTAGTAGATTAAAATAATCAGTGAATGCTTTTACTATATACATAAGAACAGTATTATATATCTATAATTAAATTGAGTGATTAGCTTAATTTAAAAAAAGAAATCTGATTGAGATTAAAAAAAAATTTTAACTATATTTTTCTATCCTCTTGAGCTTTTTGTCTTATCTTAATAAAGAATTCTTTTTTAATCTCAATCAAAATTTTTTCTTCAAATTGAACTAATCCTTTAATTTATTATAGATATCTAATATTGTTTTAGTAGATGTGAGAAAATCATTTATTAATTCTTTTTGTTTACTAGTTTTTTTAATTTTTAAAATTCTAAACTTTTAGAACTAAATTATTATATTTTTAATCTTTGAGTACTAATCTTGTAAATATTTTATTCTCATTTTAACATAGAGTTAACTTATTTTTTAGTTTAGAAGCTAAAGTTTTCAAACTTTTAAGTTTAAAAGGTTAAAAACTTTATAATATAAAATGAATGGGCTAAAATTTTCATATTTAATAAAGTAAGAGGAGTGTGAAAGGGAGATTATTATTTTTTTTAAAGGGAAGAGGAGGAGATGGACGTAGCCCTGCATTTCCATTCCCTTCAATTTGAAGTGGCTGCGACGGATCTATTAGTTTATTTATTTTTTATTTTTTTTAATAAATAATTAAATATAAATATATTATTTTAATTATTTAT